TTTGGGAGGAAGAAATGCTAGATACATTTGTTTAATCTGCCATTATAATCCGGTATGTCTTTAATTACATCATTTATTTTCTCACATAACTCAATAATGCAACTCACCCTTCTTATAGTTCACTGGTTTTCACATTGTTTGTCAATACATTATTTAACTTCTTTGAATCTTGCTTTCCTTATCTGTAAAATAGGAGTAGTTCTTGTCCTAACTATCTTATAAATTGTGTTGCAGCTTCCCCGAGTTACCACATAGGTCTAAGGACAAACTAACCAGTTGTTTATATGCAGCTCTGGCAAAACAAGGCTTGCAGGGTGATGTGAACATCCTCCGGGGGGCAGTGAAAATGCACAGGCCTGACCTCTGGTTTTCATCCTGTTTCCAGAACAACAATTTAGCATAACTCTCAGTTTCTGATGTCCCTTTGAGAGACAGCAAAGCATACCTAATCAGTGTTAGAGATCAACGGCCCTTCCCTGACCTGGGACACAGATGACTAGTGTCTGTCTAATGTCAGTAGAAAAGAACCCAAACTCTTTAAAATAATTTAAAGATGTTTATTCTGAGCCGAATATGTGCAACCACGGCCCAGAGAGCCAAGCCCAAGAATCCTTGAGCAAGTGGTCTCACTGTGCTTGGATTATGGTTTGGTTTTATGCATTTTAAGGGAGGCAGGAATTACACATAAAGTCATATATCAATACATGGAAGGTGTACGTTGGTTTGGGCTGAAAAGGCAGGACGTCTCGAAGTGAGGGCTCACAGCTTATAGGTGGCTTTAAAGATGATTCTTTGCTTTGTAATTGGTAAAGAAATGAAGCTTTGAGGCCAGGCGCGGTGGCCCACGCCTGTAATCCTAGCATTCTGGAAGGCCGAGGCAGGCAGATCGCTCCAGGTCAGGAGTTCGAAACCAGCCTGAGCAAGAACGAGACCCCGTCTCTACCAAAAATAGAAGGAAATTAATTGGCCAACTAAAAATATACAGAAAAAATTAGCCGGGCATGGTGGCGCATGTCTGTAGTCCCAGCTACTCAGGAGACTGGGTCAGGAGGATTGCTTGAACCCAGGATTTGGAGGTTGCTGTGAGCTAGGCTGGGGCAGCAGAGTGAGACTCTGTCTCAAGAAAAAAGAAATGAAGCTTTGTCTAAAGGCTTGGGATGTTTTAAGTTAAGATAAAGAAGTCTGTTAGTCAGAAACAAGTCACCAGACATATACCGAACATATACACAGACTCAAGTGATCTGTTAAGTAAACTAATGACCTGCAGCTATAACCTTTGTCTTACACGGCCTTAGGCCTGTTAATGATTTTGTATCTTATCGTTACAAAGAATAAATCCAAAATGGATGGGGCATAACTAGATGTGTCTGACCTCCCCTCTTCTCATGGCTACAACTCAGTTTTAAGGTTTTTCCGGGGTCACCTTGGCCAAGAGGGGGTCCATTCAGTCAGCTGGGAGGGCTTATGGTTTTATTTTAGTTTACACTCAGAACTTCTGGAAGAGGAATTATTCTCCCTATTTCTCTGCCTTTCTGCCTTTCCTTCTAAGTAAAACACTTTGCTCTCGTCCTCCAACAGTTAGCACCTTCCCTTTTTTTGTGATTTACATTTACCTTTTGTTTTCCTGCCCAGTTCACTTACCCTCCCTGGTCAAAGTGGACACATCTTACTGTGACCCCTTTTCCACCCCTCTGGGTGTACCTCTGCCCCTTGGGTCTGCAGAGCCTGGGGGACCAGTGCAGGCCTCCCAGCGAGCAAGGCCAAGCGAGGGCAAGGCCTCAGCAGGGTCCTCCTCGCTAGTGCTGCCAAAGGGGACAGGTTTTCCCTACAAAGACCCCCCACCCAGTGCACCAAAAAGGGAAGGGCCCACAAGAGGAATGTGCTGCCCTTTTATACTTACTGGTTTGTTTTTATTGACACATAGTGTTTGTACCTATTTACAGGGTACATGTGATATTTTGATACATGCATAGAATGTGTCATGATCAAGTCCAGGCATTTAGGATATCCATCACCTCGAGCATCTATCATTTTTTTTTGTGTTGGGAACAGTCCAGATCCTCTCTTCTAGCTATTTTGAAATGTACAATACACTGTTGTTAACTGTAGTCACCCCACTCTGCTGTGGAACATTAGAACCTATTTCTCCTCTCTAACTGCATGTTTGTCCCTATTAACCAACCTCCCTTCATCACCTTCTCTCCCACACACACCCTTCCCAGTTTCTGTCATCTATCATTCTACTCTCCACGGCCATGAGATCAACTGTTTTAGCTCCCACATATGAGTGAGAACATGCGATATTTATCTTTCTGTGTCTGGTTTATTTCACATAATGACCTCCGCTTCCATCCATGTTGCTGCAAATGACAGGATTTTATTTTTTTCTATGCACAAGTAGTATTCCATTTTGCATATATACCAGATTTTCTTTGTCCATTCATCCATTGATGGGATATTTAGCATGGTATTAATATTCATATAAAAACAGACACATAGACCAGTGGAACAGAATAGAGCACGCAGAAATAAGTCCACATATTTACAGCCAACTGACTTTTGACAAAGGTGCCACGAGTGCACATTGGGGAAAAGATGTCCTCGTCAATAAACTATTCTGGGAAAACTGAATGTCCACATGGAGAAGAATGAAACTAGACCCTTATCTCTCACCATATACAAAAATCAACTCAAAATGGATTAAAGACTTAAACATAAGAGCCCAAACTATGCATTCTGTTTAAGGAGGTGCAAATCTCCTTGCAGGGAAACCTCCTTTACATTGAAAATAAGCAGATCTGTTTTTTCCCTTCCTATCACCTCCTTGCCCTTAAAAATGTGAATAGAAGCATCGGTAGTAGAGAGTATCCCATTTCCAGGAATCAATCCAAATGGATTCACATGTCAAGTAGGGACCTTTCTCCACTGAGGCGGCTGTTCAGGCCCCGGTCACTCAAGAGTCCCTCGTGGTGGTGGAGACAGCAGTGACCATGGATGCAGGCTGGTGCCATCAGGGAGTGTCTGGGGAGATATGGGGGGAAAGGACTGCACAGGTGGTTCAATAAGGTTCAATAAGATGTGAGGATGCTGCTTCTCCCCGTCTCTGCTGTGTTCCCAGCTGGCTGTGGCAGGCCCTGCAGGACGCTCGGTTCACACGCTCTTATTGTAATCCCACAACGCTTTTAACAGAGTTTCATCTGACACATTTGGCAAAATGGGCAGTCAGTCCCCACGCTGCATGATAATGAGGCACCCTTGGCAGCCCCCACAAATGACTTATAACGAGTATTACTTCTACCTGGCTGTGACAGGCATCCCAGGTCAGCTGGGAGAAGACAGGGAGGCCTGGGTAGAGCAGGAACCTCGCTGCAGCCCTTTGGGGACTTCTGCCCATGCTGAGGGCCTTGTCCTGGCACCCCTGTGGATCCTCCTCCCCAGAGGCAGGGGTGGGGGCTGTCAGTGTCTGATGGTCAATGTCAGTACAAGAAGGTGGACCAGATCCCTCCACAGAGGGGTCTCAGGCCAGACTGTGCCAGCTTTTGCTCTGCTGGGGGTCCCATAGGGGAGGCTGGAGAAAGAGGGAGGAGTGGAGGGTGGGACACGCTTGTGAGGGCTGAAGACTCCACGGTGTTCTCCACAGAAACCTGTGGGGTGTTCGTTCCTCAGGGACGAGAAGAGATTGTCTGGGCAGCAGCTGGTGTGCTTGCATGCTCTCAGACACCCTTCCCTCCACCCTCCTACTCCACCCCTCCCTTTGAGAGAGGGGAATGCCTATGGGGTCCTCCAAGCTGCTTTGCAACCCCCTGGGGAGCCGAGACCCTGGGGCAGAGGCAAGACAAATGGCTTTGGTCCTGTGCACTGCAGGGACTGGGTGGAGCACAGGCTCTGATCAGGGTGTGTGGAGGGTGGGGGTGGGTGGAGGGGTGGAGAGGTGTTGGGACAGTGGAAGTGGTAGGTGGCATGACCTAGGGAAGGAACGTGGGATGAGAAAAGCATACCTGGAGCTGATGGGGGCTGGGCTGCAGTGGGCATGCGGAGGGGCCGTGTGAGAGCAGCTCTGGGCACAGGAGGGCAGGGGCAGCCGGGGGGGTTGCCGAGCTGAGCCAGATGCTGAGTGGCCACTTGAGCCATGGCAGCAGCTCTGCCTTCTCCCTTCTGCTAACTATGCTGCCTTTCCAGGCAACCCTCTGCCCCCCTGAGCTGATGGGGTGGGGGCAGGGGTAGGGTCTGACTCAGAAAGCTGGGCTGAGCTGGGGGTGGAGGAGCCAAAGCAAGTGCAAAAAGGGGGCCTGCTCCAGGCTCAGATGGAGAGCAGGGAGTGTGGTGCCCCACCCTGCAGCCCCGCGTGCAGGGAAGCCTGAGCCCAGAGCCAGCGCATAGAGGAAGGAACCAGCACCAAAGCCCCAAAACCCGAGGCCCCTCCTCATACCCGATCTCCTGGAGAGAACAGCAAACGCTGGAGGGAAGGGACGGGGGTCTTGGCAGGTGCAGCCTGACTGCCCAGACCCTGCCCAGCTTGAACCGTTTCTCCGGTCCTCAGCTCCTCGGAGATTCTGCATGGTGCCGTGGTTGGGACCATACAGGTTAGGATTCGAGTCCCAGTTCTCCCACCTACTAGCTGTATGCCCTTTGGCAAGTTGCTGCATTTTGCAGGTAGGAATAAAGACAGCGCCTGCCTCAGAAGGTTGAGCTGGATGCATGGAAGGACAGCACTGTGCGTGGCACAGAGGCGGCAAGGGAGAAATTGCCACTATCGTGTGATGACCGCTCCCTGTGCTTAAGAACCAAACTGTCGCGGCAGTTTTTACTCACGAGGACTGAGTCGCCATGGGGCTCTCTCCTCTGCAAAGCATGCTTGATTTTCAACCCTGTCTGTAAAGGGTGGGCTGCCTTCCTGCCTCTGCAGCATGCCACCCTCTCCCTTCCCACCCCAGGGCTGGGTGCGCCCTGGCCCGAGTCCCGGGCTCTGACGCTGACGGCTGCTCTCCTGCTTCCCACAGACCTGCGCAGAATGACGGCCGGCTTCATGGGCATGGCGGTGGCCATCATCCTCTTCGGCTGGATCATCGGCGTGCTGGGCTGCTGCTGGGACCGGGGCCTTATGCAGTACGTGGCAGGGCTGCTCTTCCTCATGGGAGGTGAGTGAGTCTGCGGGCTGCGTGGGGTGGGGGTGGGAAAGGTCCCGGGTACTTGAGTTCTGGGAGAATGGCTAAGAGGACGTGGCAGAGGGGACCACGACTACACTGGGCTCTTCTCATTCACTCGTCGCTGATTCACAAATATTCTCAGTAGCTACGCCCTTCCTAGCTACTCACCACTGCACCCGAGGATGGGGATGCAAAGGAAAATGAGACGTGGTCCTCACCCTCCAGGGGGTCTGACTGCCTGGGGTGAAAGAGAGACGAGTCTGAGGCTTGTGGTCGGGCAGAAGGAAGCCTGAGCCCAGGAAGATCTTAGGTGTTTCATGCACATAGGCCCTGGCTTTGGTGTGGGAAGCCGGTGGTCTCGGAGCAGCTTCCCTTCCAGAAGCCTGTCTCCACGCTTGGCTTAGGCGTGCCAAAGCTGCTCCCTTTGCAAATAAGGCAGTGGAGGGACAGGACTAGACGCACTCGCGTATCCATCTTAGTCATCACTGCACCGCCATGCCATGGGGCCCACCCTGCAGTCTCTGCTGCGTGTAAGGGGAACTGCAGAGCTACGTGGGAATAGGTTCCGGTGCACGGGACATGCCTCTTGTGCCTCTTCTTTTCCCTTAAGAGCTGAAATGTGCTTTTTTGGTCTCCTGGCATCAGTCTCTGTCCAAAGCGGAAGTTGACCACTGAGCTGTGTCCATCACAGTCTGCTCCTCAGAGAAAGGTAGATGGCTGCATTGTGTGGGGCTTGACAAAAGGCAAATTAGGCTTGGACAGAGGGAATTAGAAATATTTATGGAAAGAAAGAAAAGTGAGTCCTACATATGGAAACAAATATCAGTTGGACTTTAGCCCCCTGTGCAGATGCTCAACTCAAGTCCCTTTTGTGAGCCACTAGGCTCCTCCGGTCTCTGAGCAGAGGCAGGAGGTGGAGGAGTGGGCCATGCAGGCTCTTCGTCTAGAGGTCAAGCGGGGAAAAGGAGGGGGTTGTCCCTCTAGGTGTACAGAGAGATCTCTGGGCTAGTGAGCTATGGGTTGGGGAAAGAGGAGAGACCTCTAGGATTCGGCTTTGGGCCTGAGGCTTACCCTTATTTCCTTGAAGCACAGCCATTCTGTGCCAGAGACAAGCAGGGCTTTCCAAGGAGCTATCACCCAGGGCTACCAAACCCTCTGCCATCTGAGGGTCAGGATGTCCCACTCTGGAGCTGCTTCCTCAGTGAGTCCCGTGCCTGCGGTTATGGCAGAGGCTGGGGGAAGGAGGGGGACGCGGTGGCTCTTTCTAGCAGTCCCCCTACTCTTCCTTCTGGTCCCTTGCAGAGGCCGAGACTGACAGCCGCACGTGCCTTCTCTGTGCCTCAGTGCTCCCTTCAGGGGGACAAGGAGTCAGACTGGCCCGATGGTTTCCACATCATACTTTCTCAGTGGAACCCTTTTGTTTCCCCTTTGCAATCCAAACCTCACGTGGACCCCCAAAATGTAAAAAGATGAAAGTGGAGCGGCTCTGTTTGTACTGGGTGTTCTCTCTAAGACTCTTGCGGCCGTACAAAGGCAGGCGCCAGTAAAACAAGGCTTTCCTGAGGCTCTGAAGAGGTCTCCCAGGAATCCGAGGAAAGCTGAGCAAACAGGCCTCAGGCAGAGCAGGAATCCGGTGAGCCCTGGGGGCCGACTCTCTTTCATCTCCATCTTTTCTGCGGCATTTAAGACTCCTGCCTCCTTTTTCTGGCCCCCTACCCCCCAACCCCGTCTGCAGGCCAGGCGCGAGGCTCACATCCTGCCCAGGTGCTGCGTCTCTGGGACGTTTCAACCCCTTGACAGCTTCCTCCTGGGCAGCTTACGTCAGTGTCCAGAGAAAGAGAAAGATAGCGTGAACGGCCGGTCTATCGTTTCCGGCCAGGCCACACGCCCGTGGTCACACAATAGAGGGCCAGAGCTGAGTGACGGTGGCTGCCCTGCAGCTGCGATGGCCGCGGGGTCACTGGGATACTTCCCACGCACCTGACACCTTGGTGGGCACCCTTGCGGGGGTGTAGGGGCAGACAGTGAGGGCAGGAGGGTGCCCGGAGCTCTGACCCCCAATGCCGAGTCACCTCCCAGAAGCGCAGGGCTCTGGGGAAGGCCGCCTGAAAGCCCCTGGGCGCCATGAGGAAGCTGAGCTCCCCCCTTCAGGGAGGAGGAGTGGAGAGCCTGCGTGCCCTCCGCCCAGGGAGGGGTTCTCCACCACGGCACTCTCGAATCACCGCGAGAGCTATTTGAACATGCTGATGCTGTGTTCTCACAGCTGCGAGCTAAGCAGTGGGTACACGTGGTCATACAGAGTGACTTAATGGACGTTGGAGACACTGAACGGGGACCAGGGAGGGGGCCACAGGATGAAAAATTACCTATTGGGTATAGCATACACTGTTCAGGTGGTGGGTGTATTAAAAGCCTAGACTTTACTATGCAATTCAGCCATGTGACAAAAAGGCACTTATGCTCCCTAAATCTATATTTAAAAAAACAAAACAATACAAAAAAAAAAAATAGCAAAAGAAAACTAAAACAAAACAAAACACTGATGCCAGGGTCCCATCCGGGAATAATCTAAGCAAAACTTCTGGGAGTGATCTTAATGTGCAACCAGAGTTGAGAACTAGTGGAATAGGTGAGCTTTAAAGTTCCTTCCAGCTCTAATATTTGATGATACTCGGGATGAACTGGTTGGCCAAGAGCTCTCCTGATTTTTTTTTTTTTTTTTACCCTGGTCTTTTAGGACTGTTTCTTCAGACCTTATGCAGCAAGAGACAGGGATACAGCAGTGTGTAAAGGGGCTTCAGTTACTACTAGAAAGGCCCACCCAAGCCCTGGTCACTGAGAGGCCCAGATAAATCTGCTTTTCTAGGCCATGCAGTATATTTTCTTAAATGGCGAAACCGTACTTTATGATAAAGTGTGAGCATCACGGAGAGCTTTGGGGAAGCTGCTGTTCTGAGAGCTGTTTCTCACCGGCTGGGGCACTGTCCAGGTTAGAGCAAACCCATCTCATCCACGGATCGTGTAGCCTTCTCATCCATCCTGGCACTTTGTCACCTGTGTCCCTCAGTAAAGCTATGTCCTCCTGAAAGAGGCTGGGGAGGGAACTGGTGTCCACATACCTTGTGGGTACCACCCAGGCCAGGCACCAACAGAAGGGGCTGGAGAACAAAGCCACTAAGCACTGGCTTAGTGGATGGTGGTCTTTTTCAGAAGATGGCACTCTATGGACTGGAAGGGCACTCCCTGCCTTCTCAAGTCACAGTCCTTTACAGCTGGGCTGGACATAGCCGGGGAGTGCAGAGCCCAGGGCAGCTGCCACCTGCTGACCTTGAGGAAGTAGGGAGGGAGCACCCTCAGGAGCAGAAGCTGCATTTCCCCACCCCTGAGAGCCTGGGGCATCCACCGGGAGATGGTGCCTTGACCTGTGTATCAGATAGCATGTCAGCACTGCCCCCTCTCCAGGAGTTAATCTCCAGGGGTTGACCTGTTGAAGAACTTGGAGAATCAGCTGCCTGTGACAGCCACCTCAGGGACACAGCAGCACAGTCAGTCACTCAAACTACAGAGATTTACCACACCATGGGACAAAGTGCCCCACGGCCTTAGCTTTCACCCAGGTTGGGGTTGCAGGCACCTATAGCTGAGCACAGACAGGTGCCCAAGAGCTAGATTGGGCTGCAGGCGAGAAAAACAGGCAGGGCCAGCTGCAGGGGGATCTGGCCAGGTAAGGATGTGGAGAGTAGGCAGAACAGGAAGGGGAGCAAAGACTGAAAGAAGGTTAAATATGGAGGCAAGAGTCCAGAGATGGAATTCCAGGTGACTTCAGGGGGCCCAAATGAAAAGGAATAATTCTATTCACAACCTCCTCTCTGTTCCCATTTAAAGAACAATGGCCTGCCCTGGGCACCGCTCTGGTCCAGATCTAACTATTTCCGGGTTAAAGTGAGGGTACCTCGCACCTTCTGAAATAACTAGCAATAAATTGTTTCACCAACGCTCCGCGCAGAGGAGATGATTCATTAAGCAGGATTAAGTAGGGCAGCTTTGCCTGGCCAGGAGGGTGGGGGTGGCGGGGGTTGGAGGTGGGGATCAAGTTTCCCCTTTGGCAGGGCCTCTGGGGAGACTCTCCCAGCCTGGCACAACACCAGTTGGGTGCTGGCAACTGTCTTGCTGAGTCATCAGTGATAATCAGAAGCTCAGGATCGGGCTGCCGCAGGGGAAAGACTGCATAGCCAGGGAGCACGCGGCTGCTACCAGCACTTGTGATCCCTCGCGGGTGTACCTCGGCGCCACATGGTGGGTGCAGATCCCCAAGATGAGTGTAAACATCCATCCCATGGCCCTGTCCCATCGAGACCCCTCTCACACATCCTCCCACACTTCCTGGAAGACACCCGTCACCTCTGCCTCCGTTCAGTTCTTCTGTCTAGGCTAACGCTGCAGCCACTTCTCTAAGACACTCTGCTCCTCTCTGGCCATTCTGGTGTCAGTCCTTCTAGAGCTGTTAGCATAATTTTTTTAAAACTATAAATCAGATATGTCACTCATCTGCTGTCCAGTGGTCCAGTGGCTTCCAGTTGAACTTAAAATCTTAGAAGCCCTGTGTAATGTGGCGCAAGCTGCCTCTCCCACCTCCTTTCCTCTTCCTTCCCACCACGCTGGCTGCCTTTCTCTCTGGAGCACAGGCAGTGGTACTTCGAGGCCCTGGAGTGGGCCAGTCCCTTTGCCATAGGTAGTGTCTCCCCGCAAAGCCTCAGGGGGGTCTCCCTCCTCAGGCTCAGATTCCAGCCCCACGGAGAGGGCTTCCTTGTTTCATTTTTGAATAGGCCTTTTTTCTAGAACGATTTTACATTTACCAAAACATTGAACAGCAGATATATCGAGAGTTCCCATATTGCCTCCTGCCCTTGCACACACTTTCCCCTATTATTAACGTATTGCATTAATATGGTACATTTGTTACCATTAATGTAAAAATATTGAGACATTAT